AGGGGGTTGTAGTCGGTGCTGGTGTCATCCTTCTCATCCCTGTGGACGAGACAAAGTGGGAATTGGTGTGAGTCACAGCGCGTTCGAGGGAGCGGGGTGTGCAGTTGGTCTCCAACAAGGCGACGACGCACCAGTCAAAAACGAATTTCTTGTCATTCATGCGACGAATTTTACGCTTTTCGCGTTGACGACCAAAATAGCGTTTCTACGAGAGAAAAGGTTCAAAAAAAAAAAAAAAAAAAAAAAAAAAAAAAAAAAAGCCAGGCAAGCACACATTTGATCAGTATCGATTCGATATCAGCTCCTGGCGGGAGAAGGCCGTACGCGGATATCCTTGAGCTCGGCGTTGCGCTCGTCCTCGGTTTGCCACGCCAAGCCTTCACCTGAAAGAGGAGTAATGCAACCACCAGAAGCAGAGACAAACGACCATGAGTCATGCCCCGGGCTTGACAGGGGTAGGGTGTACAACAAATCATCAGAACAAGGACGTACTGCCCACGGCTGGGAGCTCGGTCGGCAGAGCCAGCTGATCTGGTTCAGGCATGGCAGCGGCTTTCTTGCTCACATCCACCTGAGCCACGGCTATGGTTGCCACACGGCCAGCTCATGAGGTGTTTGACAGGGTGCACCGGAGAGTGCAGGTGGGTTGAGCAACAAGGAGGGCAAAGTCACAGCACGCACGCACCAAAGCGGGCGTCGCGAGCTTCGCGCTCGAGCTGCTTGCGTTTGTCTCGGAGTTCCTTTTCCTGCTGCTCCTTTTGAGCTTTCTCTTCCGCGGCCAAACGTGCGGCCAGCGCCTCGCGCTTCTTTTTGGACATGAACTTTGGCTGTAGCACACGAGACGAGAGGATGAGACGAGTACTGGGCAAACAAGAGGCCGGCAAGGGGAGGCACAAGGTCCAAGACTTGGAAAAGACATGCGTTGTGCGACTGCGTACCTTGTTGCTCTCTTCTTTGGCACGCTCGTGCTTTTTCATGAGCTCCTCAAGAGAGAGGGGCTGCTTGGGCTTGCTCGGGTCCTGGTTTGGCACGGCAGCTAGCTTCATGATAGCTTCGAGAGCAGCTTCAGGCTCGGACTTGGGGACCATGGGAGGAGGCTTGGTGCTATCGACAGGTGGCAGGGGCGCTTGTGGTGCTTGGTCCTCGCGACGGTCATGGCTTTGTGTTGTGCGCGCGAGCGTGGCAAGGTGAGCGACGGGTGCCGACCACACTAGCTTAGAAAGCAGGTTCACCTGACTTTACACAATGGCATGTCAAAAGACGCTGCCAGGCTTACCTGGACGAGGGACGGCGTTGGTCCCGGTCATGATTCCAGCGCTGGTCCCGGTCTCGACCCGGTCCGCCACGGTCGCGACTATCGCGGCCATCGCGGCTGTCGCGGGAGGTGCGAGGGTACTCGCGATCACGGCTGTACCGGTCATCACGGCGCCGATAGCCGCCACTGCGGTCATCATCGTAGTGTTCACGCTTTGACCGAGGCCCACCCTGGTCACCATCCCGCGGCCGCGAATGATACCGACCATCCTCCACCCCACGGTCACGCGAATAGCGGCTCTCACTGTAACCACTGCCGCCGCCGTCGTGGCGACGTTTCCGTTCGTCGCTCATTCCGCCTTTATTTTTTGGTTTTGGTCAAAGAGCCAAAAAAGAAAAAAGAGAGAGAGAGAGAAAGAGATGAAGAGAGAGAGAGTGAGTGAGTGAGAGAGAGAGAGAGAGAGAGAGGGAGAGAGAGAGAGAGAGAGAGAGAGAGAGAGAGGGAGAGAGAGAGAGAGAGAGAGAAGAGAGAGAGAGAGAGAGAGAGAAGAGAGAGAGAGAAAGAGAGAGAGAGAGATTTTGAGAGAGAGAGAGAGATTTTGAGAGAGAGAGAGATTTTGAGAGAGAGAGAGAGAGAGAGAGAGAAGAGAGAGAGAGAAATTGAGGGAGTTTGAGTGAGAAAGTTTGAGAGAGTTTGAGGGAGTTTGAGAGAGTTTGAGACTGTGATGGAAGAATAGAGGAGAGAGGAGAGAGAAGAGAGAAGAGAGGAGCTGAAAACAGAGAGAAGAGAGGAGAGAGAAGAGAGACGAGAGAAGAGAGATGAAGAGAAGAGAGGAGAGAAACATGAAAAGAGCAAGGGAGAGAGGGCTGGGCGGATCAATTGGAACGGCCGGGGGCCCGGGGTTTGCAGGGGCAAACGGAAAGATCTAGTTGCGCATGAAAGACATGCGGCTGGCCGAGAGCATGGCCATGCGCTGGCGCAGAAGGAGCACCTCCTACCGATGCGCAAGCACAATGGGCATGAGCGCACCGCATGGTGTGGGGAAGTGAGCCATGGCCCAGGGGAGGTGGTGAGGGAAGCGGCATCATGGGGCCTTACCTCGCTCTGGCACTGGGCTCCGGGCTCGGGGGAGGCGCAATCGTACTTGGCATCGGGGCCAAGGTCAAAGATGCTCTCGTCAAAGCTCTCGACCGACTTGAAGTTGGTAAAGTCGATGGTGCTGTTGCCGAGGGGCTTGCCAAAGGGATGGAGGTCTAAAACGGCCGGCAAAGGTCAGGCAACAAAGAGGCCCCTCGGGGGCAAACGTGGCAGGACAAAAGGCCAGTGCTTTACGAACCGCGGTACATGCGGACGGGGGTGGGCTCGGCGGCGTTGGCGTCGACGTACAGCAAAAGGCTGTTCATGGGAATGGGGCCTAGATGGATCAACAAGATGGTCAGCTCTGACAATCAAACAAAACAGGGACCATGGACGGGCACTGACCCAGGTTCTCGGTCCAGAAGAAGCGGTGGGTCTCGATGCCGTTGATGGTGTCGTCACCGACGTAGGTGGCCTTGCGCTTGTAGTCGTACGAGCAGAGGCTATCAAAGTTGTCGCACACGACAGGGGTCGAGGGGGCTAGCGACGCGGCATGTACAATAGGGGGTGAGTCAAGTCGGCGCCTGTTTGGCATCATTGGACAACAGAGGAAGATTGGGAAAGATCTTGCTTTGTAGGGGACTTTCGAGGACTAACCGCACCAAAACTGGCAGTGGCGGGCGCCTCCATAAGTGCGGATGTAGTACTCGCGGGCATCCTCGACTGTAATCGAAATTGATTAGAGTGACAAGAGCATGAGCACCCCCCGGGCAAGCCCGCCCGAGGCGGGAGGAGGGGGGGGGGGGGCGTCAAGAGAAGGAAAAACGCAGAATGGCACTCACGGTCGTCGTTGTAAAGGGTGACGACCACGTCGTACATGGTACCAGTGGCGTTGGTCAGGGCGGTGCGGTTGTTGGAGCCATCAAAGTAGTGATCGAGGTGGGCACGCTGAATGCCTGAGGGAGACAGCCGGAGGAAGAGCAGGGAGGGGCAACAGGGTGTCAGATGTAGCAGCAGCAGTCCGCGATCAAGCTGCCATCCCGCGCGCCCAAATCAAAAGTCACACCTTCAATGATCACGTTGTCCTCGTTGGCTTGCCAGTTGGTGGCAAACACGGGGGGCTGCGGCGAGGCCGGGGCAGCCGCAGCCAACACAGCCAAGGTAGCCAAGGCGGCCAAGGTCATGCTCGTCGTCGACACCATCTCGCTGGATTCGTCAAAAGATTGCAAGCTCCTAAATGACGCAGGCCACGTGCAACAACATGAGAACGATCGATCCCACGCTCAACATTCGCGCGCGTCTGTTCCAGGGGTTCAAAGTCCCGACTGTTTGATGTCTGTGCTGAGCCTCGTATCAGCGCCATCACAACCAATTGCACCAGTACCCCTCCCGCCGTTCAAACACGACAACGCCCCGCCCCCCCGCCCCGCGCGCGCATCACTGAACTCCCGGATGTGCTCCTCTCTCTCTCTCTCTCTCTCTCTCTCTCTCTCTCTCTCTCTCTCTCTCTCTCTCTCTCTCTCTCTCTTACGGAAAAAATAAAAATAAACCACTGGCCCTCCAAAATCACACACACACCTGACATGGGGATGAGAGAGAGGTGGGCTGATGGGAGAATTGGGGCAGAGGCTTGATACAATTTTATTGCAGCTCGTAAAGTTAAGGGATGAATTTACTAATGTTCAGAGAGAGGGGTGGTCATCAGATGCAAGACCAGAGAGGTGGAGGACAGCCGGACAGATTTCACAGCTCATGTCCAGGTGAAGGACACAACGTGCAATTCTTCAACTGTGATGTGTGTGACAGCACTAAATGTCAGACAGCCAAAACGATGACATTGTTCCAAACAGTAGTTGTGGCGGATCTCACCATTTCCGTGCGGACACACAGACAGACACGCTCACACACGAGGCAAACGACAAAATTATGGCGACCGTGTCGATGGCAGCGGTCACCCGCGGGCTATGGGCCCGTGGCTTGAGCCTGCGACGGGCCCTTAGCCTGACTGCAGTGCAGCGGGCAGAAGGTATGAGGCGCTTGTGACATTTTTAACAATTTGGATGGGTACGGGCGGCACTTGGTGCTGTGAGCAGCGCAGCCCTCCCGCCCGCCACGATGCTCGGAACGGGGGCGGCTGCTTCTCAAGATGCGAGCGCCACCGGCCAACTCTCAGTGCAAGCCACGCCCGCTTCTCATGAATGGCTTGAATTGATGATGCAGGTGACATTGTCAAGGGTGCGCAAGTGTACCAGAACCAGCCCGAAGTCGTCGAGCGCAAGGACGAAGAGGTATGCCCCAAAGACCTGATCCAGCAAAACTCGAAAGACTCAACCCCATCCTCTTGTCCGTCCTCATTCCCCAACGTCACCCATCTCCGCGTGCCCAGTACCCCGAGTGGCTGTGGACTTTGCTGGACGCCCCGCAAACAGACTTTGACGCGCGAACTGACCCGGTCCGTCTTTTGCTACTTTTTCAATTGCTTTCATGGAACCTTCACCCCCGCTCCCACGCAAATGGAGACATCTTGCACTCACGCCTGCTGACTCTGTCGTACAATACAATCTATAATGCCATCCTCCCGTCCGCCTGCAGGCCTACTGGCGTGGTGCGGGCAAAGCCGCCATCCGTGATCATAATGCGGCCAAGAAGACCGGTTGAGCAAAGTTTTACCTTCCTCCCAGCCCTCGTCTTGTCCCTTCCCTGTGCTTGGTCTCTTTCCTTTTTATCTCTCGCTCTCTGGATTTTTTTTTTTTTTTTTTGTAACGTCGCTGCAGCCGTCGCCGTTGACTTTTGGGCGTATATGGCCGCACCACGACCGTCCACCGCTGCTTCCCAAACGCTCTACTAGCGTGTTGGCTGCATCGCCTTCTGGGCATTTCCATGTCTTCTTTTTCGTTGCCGACTGACCCTTCTCAAATAGACTTTATTTCATCAATGCGACAGTCTTCGTTGGCCAACTTCAACCTGGGAGACTCGGCAACGCACCACCTTGTGCTGGCATTCTTGATGCTATAACACGGATCAACTCGTCCAGATGGCCCAGTCCTGAGGCTAGGCCATGCCGACAACACCTGAACATACGGGCGCGGCCCGACCATGTCCAGAATATGACCAAACGACCACACGAAGCCAGTCTCACACAGAAAGGGCGCACCAAGTTTAGCGAATCAAAAGGCCTGGAAACCAGTAATCCACTTCAGCAGTGGCCTGCTCATCCACCCAGGCAAAGCCTTGCTGAACCAGTTGCTCCTGTCTCACGTACTCGGTGAGAAAGATGACACATTTGGCTGGCGCGGGGGGCGGGCAATTGTTGGTCAAGCGAGCTACTGACCAAGGCCGTGGCAGCGCGTGTTGGTTGCCAGTTGTGCTTTTCGCACACCTGCGTCTTGGTGACGTGTCCATCGCAAGCCTGTTCATTCCGCCACGAAAAGAAGAATAAGAAAGGAAGAAGAAGTCATGCGTATCCGCTCGAGTCACCCGCAAGACACCTCGGCTTGGGTGATGGAAACGACTGCGGTTTACCTCGGCCAAAAGCAAGACGATGCTGTGGTCCTGGCTCAGCTCCAGCGGTACAGACTAGAGCACGGGCAAAACACACCGGCATGAGCTGGACGGGGTTACGGTTAATACACGTGTGTCAATTTCGAACCTGCACAATGGTACGCGAGCCAAGCTGCAGCAGCGTATAGCCGCTGCCCAACACTCGCAGCTTTTCAACTGCCTGCACAATGTCGTCACTACCCAGCACACGAGTCTCGTCAAGTGGCAGAAATGCACGCTGCACGATCGGGCACGGGCACGCAGACGGCGTAGCATAAATTACCGGCTAACGGCGGCCACTTTGGAGCCACGGCGTTTGCGGACGCGCGATAGCAAATCTGAAGGACGACAAAGGCACAGGTGTGCGGGATGAGCAGAAGACGAGCAACAACGAGGCTGCGGGAGTTTGGGGCGTGACGGTCACGCACCCTCCATATCGATTAAGCCACCATTGACGGCGCGTGTGGCGTAGCATACTTCAATGACCTGCACGGAAAGCTGCAGGCACCGCGAGATGAGGAAAGGGATGGCGGGGGAGGAGAGGAGGGCAATCGGGGCAATATAAAATGCGGCGCACTTTGTAGTAAAAGTCTCCAAGGCCCAGGGTCTTTTGCCAAAAGCCTTTTTGAGCTACACGGCGGTCAACAGGTTCACAAGGTCAGGAGTGAGCGTGCATGGGAGGCTAGCATGAGGTGGCGAACTAAAGGTAGGTTGCACGCGTACAAGCCAAGGGGTCGACGCCGATGCGCAGGCACATTTGCTGAAACTGCGCACGAAACTCGGGATTGGTTCGAATCTTATCCAGGTGTTTGCTGCGTGGGTCATCATCCGCACCCGACGTCTGGCGTGAGCAGGTGCGTGTGCAAATGTACACGGCCGGCCGCACTGGCGGGGGCAAAACGCAGATCAGGGTCGCGGACCAAACCCACCTAGCAAAGTCTTCCAATCGCTCCTTGAACAGGGTCATTTGACTCTCCATCTATGCCAGACGCACGCTTGTGCTGTGAGTCAAGCGAGCCAAGGCCAGTAGACATCGGGGACACAAGAGCGCGCGCAGGAGTCTAAACGCCAACCTGTGCGAGCTCGTCCGCCAACAACTGGGCTCCGGCGCGAGACATGGCCTCACGCCGTTCCACCTGCTGCTGCAGCCCTGTAAAAACAAACCAAAAAGCACACCGCGACAAAGATGAGCCCCACCCCCGACCAGCGCAAACACGCTCACCCGCACCCAACCAACGCAGCAACCGCCAAGCCCACACGCCACATCCTCCCCCTCCCCCCTTTATCAGCCACCCACAACGCACCGCGACGACCCGGCCGCCGACGATTCGCCATCTTCTTGCTTGTGTGTGTGTGTGTGTGTGTGTGTGTGTGTGTGTGTGTGTGTGTGTGTGTGTGTGTGTGTGTGTGTGTGTGTGTGTGTGTGTGTGTGTGTGTGTGTGTGTGTGTGTGAAAATCCAGTAGTAATGTGTGTGTGTGTGTGTGTGTGTGTGTGTGTGTGTGTGTGTGTGTGTGTGCACGAGCACTGATCGGCGGATGTGAGAGCGCAGAGACACAGCCAGGCAGAGAAAGAAAGAGAAAAGGGAGAAGGAACGAGAGTCATGGGATGCCTCGTCGACATCAACAGC